AAAAAAAAAATGGCGTAAAACTTGCCAAAAAAAACAATGCTTCATGAACTCGTCTAGAATACGCATCAAAAGTGGTTAATACACTTAGAATAAGACAACACAGCACCACCATAAATACACTGAAAATAAGTTCAGTTTGGTAAATAATAATATGCTTTCAGATAACACATTCTATTATTACTACAGACAGATTTTTAAGACTTAGTGCTACAGAGTTAATTCTACAGTTATCATAAGTAACTGTACTTTGAAATTTGCAGGTCTCTTGTATTTGTTGTTTTTCCAGAAATTTGTACATACATTTATCACAGAAATCAACTTTATCTTCTCTATTTTTTCTAAAAAAAACTTGAAAAAAAAAGATAAACTACTTGTTTAGTTCACTTTACTAGCGCCAAATAAAACCTATTACTAACCTGAAATGATAGATAAAACATGTCCAACCGACTGGCCTTTCTAAAAAGTTGAATACTTTACTTTTCAACGTTGCTGCAGCTGGCCGTCGATCTGTGGTTCTGGCATATCGAGGTCCCAACAACTAAACCTTTTGAATCTTCGGTATCATTTTTGTTTTAATAAAGAGAAAATTTTTTTGAGTTCTATAAAATTTATTTACAGGTTTGGTAATCGTTATGCAAAAATAAGCAGCAGTTAATTGTTTTACAAAGCTTTTTCTTTGTCACTTTTTCCTTTTAAATTTAAAGTACTGAAATGCAGTTACAATCTGATAGCATATTTGTTTCACATATGAATCTGATGAATTAGAAAGAATTTTTTATATACTTTAGAAGCAATCTTTTTATATGACTTTAAATGTTTATTATTTATAGATTAGGCTGATATGTCATAAATTTTAGCAATTCCAAAAAATACCAAATTTTCTGATAATTATTAACGTAGTTGTCGTTCTGTTTTTCCCTTTTTTTTTTATAATCGAACAATTAGCAAAATTATTAGGTGTTGTTTAGGACGTTTTTATTGCTTAATTTGCTGCTGCACTGTCGTTGAAACATTTTGTTAAGATAATATTCATTTACACTTAGTTAAAAAAATGCTTTTAAAAAAAGTTTTTTTTTGTTGATAATGCATGTTATTTTTTTTTATTTTTCAATTGATTGATTATTCATAATATCTGAAATATAATGCAACATTTTTTTTCAACACAACATCTACGCAATTGAATCTTTTCTAATTATACTGAATTTATAAACTGAACTTATTTAACAGTGACTTTGTTGCAGCAAAAAAATAAAAAAAAAAAAAATTAGAAAAAAAAAAATGAAATAATTTTGAGATTAAAAAAAAGTTAAAATTTATTTGCTGTAAGTTGGCATAAACGTATATAACTGACTGTATGTCAACTTTTTTTGTTCAACTAAAACTTTGTAGTCTCAATTATTTTCGTTTAATCCTTTATTTAGCACACATTTGAATGACTGACTGATAAAACTGCTAACACTAATAAATTTACTTGAAATTTATATTAATATATTACTGCTAAACAACTGACCTTATCAAAATTATCGTTTTCAAGAACAGCATTTTCAAAACTTTCATTAGACAGTAGTCGTGACTTTAATCTTGGCATAACTTATAGGTGCAATCTAAAAAAAAAAAAAAAAAACGACACATTTATAGCACATAACCGATTAAATAAAAGAAAAAAAATAATGTGTAACCGTTTTTTTTTCATCGCATTTTCATATATTTTTTTTTCTTTAAACTGTAGTCAAATAATCATTGATTTTACTGGAATCATTTGAGCAGAAATTGTGTTGACAACTGAACAGTATCAATAATGAATTATTTAAAACACCATTTTTTTTTTTTCTCCTCAATTGAATAAATTATGAAAAAGGCTAAAATGTTGCTGCTTATTGACGTATGTTATAGTTGATCAAATTTTACGAAAATCTAACATTACTAAAAAAAAAAAAAAAAAGAAAGAAAAAATTTTGGAGAAAAAGGAATAAAAATAGGAACCAAGAAACAAAAAAGGGAAAGGATTCAATGTTCTAATCAAAAACAGTACTGATCTGTTAGCTTCAAAAGGGTATGAAGATGTCACACGTCATTTTTGGTTCATTGATTAAGATTATAAGTTCAAAAAAAAAAATTTTTTTTTTTTGTTTTGGTTACACTGAATTACTAAACAGGTGAAAAATACTTAGCAAAAAAATATCAGCAAAAAAAACATTGAAAAAAAGTGACAGATAGCTGTTTCAAAAACTTATGATTCTTATAAATGATAGTTTTTTTTTTTTGTTCAACGTTCAACAGTGAACAGCGTTCTATTAATTAGCAGAAAAAAACAGTTTTAAGGTTTTTAGCACTTATATATATTTGTAATTTACTGCAACAAAATTCTAAAATAACAACAACAACAGCAACAAAAAATAACTCCAAAAAAAAAAAAGTGAAAACTAATTTAAAAAAGACAAGCTTTAGCCTTTTTTTTTTTTTTTTTTTAGCATATATTAAACTAATTATGAACAATTTTTTTCTTGACTTTTCAAAGCAGTTACTTTATATTTAGGTCAAAATAAATATTGCATATACTTTAAGTCTTGCAATAAAACTTTATTATCTTTTTATTCACCAGCAATACTTTTACTTTTGTTAACTTAAAGATCAATCTTTTCTTCCTTCCTCTTCCTCCTCTTTTTCTTCAGCTGTAAATCAGATTAGCAGATGATTTGTACACCATATCCAAACTTTAGACCAACAGTAAATAAAATTTTAGAATAAAGCTGAACTTGTTCAAAACTGTTGAAGAATTAATCATTTGTGGAACAAATAATCTGTAACTTGTTGTTAGCTGCTTTCGTCATTATTTTTTGACTTAGCCTTG